ATGCTGGGATAGCCAGAAGCCAAAAGAGACAGTTCACGTGCAGCAGTAAATCACACAACAATGATTCACTCGAGAGTGTTCTGAGAAGATAAGATGGGATAAAACATATAGATTTGTTAAACGGCATCACACAAGGATTCGCTACTTGCAAATCACACAGATTTACAGGCAGTACTTGAAGACCTGCAGCCTACTCTGGTCTGATCTTTGAACTGCAAACTCTGTTCTTCTAGTGGGTCATAATGATAATAATATGTAAATATATATTTTTAATATAAAGCATATGTTCAGAGAAATGCATGTAAAATTACTGTATATACCCAGAAACTCTTAAACCAGAAGTGCTCCCAGGGCTCATGATGGCCCAAGAGCAAGTCAGAAGTGCAAACTTCTGGCCACTTTGCCTTTAAATAATGTTAGAAAAAAACCTTTTTTTTTCTTCTTTCCCTTTTCGCAATGTTAATGCTTCCATGAATTTCTGATGAAATCTGCTTAAGCGGTGGATAGTTGTAACTTAGCAGGGGACAAATTGGGAATAGCACAGCCATTAATCACAAAGCAAGAGCCCTGGGCATGGAGACAAAGTGCATCATCTGCCAAAGAGTTTTCTGCAGATTACTTGATAATGATATTAAGATTGATCATGCAGTACTTTAAGGTGACGTGAGCCGACCTACTTTTAAAGGGGGTTAATGTGTAATTTCACTGTAGCAAATAGAGATGTTGGCCTGTGTAATGTAATTTGCTAATGGGCTTCAAAATGTCCACAATCTTAACTCTCTTTGGGGAAGAATGTATCATCTATTCACTTTGTCAGGCCTCTTTTCTATGGAGAAGAGTCATTTTTTGCAAAGGCCACTTTTCAGAGGTTGTATGTTGAAGAAGTATTATCTGTTGCATGAGAAAGCTGTAAAGACCCCTTGCGCTAAGGGGCATACTGTAAAATAGTGCCTGATCCTCCTCTGTGCCTTCCCTCCGTACATCTAAGTAGACAAACAAGTTGGAGATGAAAATATTAGCAGAAACACGAAGGCGTAGGGAGCTGGTCCCACCAGTGCCGTGGTCTCTGCAGCCACCCCGTGTTTAGTCTCAGCTTTTCTTTAAGGGCACGTGGGGCATCAAAGAGGAGGGCTGGGAAAGGCCGGCTCCCTGCGGAGCAGGGAAGGCCAACGTGGAGCTCGGTGTGCGTAGGGAATTAAACCAGTAGCTCCATGGGGGCAGTGCTGTAAGACCTTGCGTCTTACCAGAATTCTGGAGCTACTTCCAATCCTATCAGTGAGCATATGCTAGAGAGCCTGGGTAGTCTCCTGGCCTGTTTAAGCCTTTACATGCATAAAAGTGCTTAAATGAGCATTTGAGCAGAAGCAGGATGAATATTTGAAACATGGACTCATCCTCTCCTTGAATAATGGTTTGATTGCTCTGTCACCACACAGCACTGACTTGAATTCCCAGAAACGGATGCTACACTAAGCTGTAGCTGACCTAGATTCATTAGAGTTATTTATGCTTGTCTACATTTAAAAAAGAACGCTGACATTTGTGGGGGTTTTTTTATTATTATTATTCTTTTCCTTCTGCTGAAGATTTAGATGACAGTTTGTTTTTACAAATACTATGTTAATCTGGGATGGTTTAATTTTTAATCCAATGTACTCATCTATTTTTCTGTATGCACAAGATTTTAAGTATAAAATACGTTTTGACTGATACTCCAGGAGACAAGCGTGAGCTGACTGCTAAACCAAAAGACAGGCGTCATCTGCCCTGGCTTTCATTTGCAAGTCAGGACATCTACAACTTAAGGTGTTGATCTGGGTATAAAGCATCAAATTTGATCCTATCCTCAGATTTGGTTATGTCATTTCCAGGATATTCTGTAAAAGGCCGGATTCCTCTGCACCGTTCTGGGAGAGCACTGCCTGGATTGTGGTGAAAGCTGCATGCTGTAGGCTGGGAATGTAAAAGGTACAGTGCTTCTCATTTAATCATTACCTTTGCTTTGGACCTGGGACAACATAATTTTGCTCCACAATATGGTTTTATTTAAATAAGAAGCCTAACTCACTCTAAAGAGTTGGTTTCTGAGGACCATGAGGAGTGGGGCCGGATTTTGGTTGGCGCCTGAAGGAAGGTCTGCGCTGGCTTCCTAAGGCCCCCAGCCTGTCTTGCCGCGTGCTCCTTCGTGTGCCCCTTCACGTGCGGAAGGCAGCCGGCACCTCTGCCAGGCCCTGCAGCTTGCGAGGGCACTGGGGGTGCTGCCGAGACTGCTTTCAGTGTCGTGCTCATCATGATGCAGATTTTTGTTTGTGACGAGAAAAATGCTTGGCACCAGATTGCAGCCTCGATCGGTGCACAAAGGTCGCTGCTTCTGCCCTGAGGGGCGGGGGGGGCGTTAATGGGGTTTATGTCCTGTGCGTGGCTCTGGCTTTGTGTATGAGGGTGATACCTCATTTTGGCTACCACAGAAATGGTCATCTCTATAATACTCACTCATCTGTCTGGGAGCAAACATTTCAGGAGGGCAAATTATTATTTACATATATATCTAAAGAGATGATTAAATAGACTAATAAAAGATAGGCTGCCCAAGCTCCAGCCTATTTCTTTTTACTAGATTACTTTATAGTAAACATGACACGTCAGCTTCTAGCAATATATATATAAAAAGAATTAATATATATTCCTGGCATATCCTCTGTTTTGCCCAGTTGGTGGCATGAGCTTGTATTTTCATCAGTCATTTCAGGAATTACATAAAACAATTTGAATCTAGTCTTGAAACACAATAAATGTAAAATTTTAAAATAATCTCTTTTAGATGAGACAACATATAGCCTAATGCACACTGTTTTGGATCAAAAAAGTGAAAAACCTACAAGCACTGCTCCATTTGTCCATGTGTCCTTATGTTGCTGCCTGGGTGCATTTTAGTGCCTCAGTTTGCCGCCCTACCTTAGTTTAAGCAAGGGCTGACACACACCATGGCATTTCCCAGACGTGCATTTTCTTAGCATGGTAGATGTGGCTTTACATTGCTCACAGGCTGCGGGCTGTGTCACAACGAGAAAAACACAGTCTGGAGCAATGTGTCCGCGCGTGCAGCGCGGAGAGTGGCTGCGCTCCCGGGACACGCGGGCGTCTCGTGCCCATTGCGCTCCTTCGGGGCAGTGCTCTGGGCGC